TATGAATGGATAAACATAAGGATGGCTGGATGAGTATTTGAATGGCTAAGTTATAGGGCAATGGATGGTTAATGGGGGGTAGATGGGTGTTTGGGTGGTTGAGTAAATTAACTGATGCATGACTGGTTGAACACTTGGGTAGCTCGATAGGTATGTGTTCGGATGGGTGTGTAAATGGATGGATGGGGGAGTGGTTGTAAAAATGAATGGGTGAATGGGATTGCAGGATTGGATGATATTTTCTTGGTACACAGTGTAATTGCACCAAAGGTGAAGTAACGTGTATCAAGCACTTAGTCAATGTCTCACATATCACGGGCTTTCTAACTTATTAGAAAGAGCATGAGTTGTGTTACTTAAGGACCTTTGTTCTGATCCTTGCCCTACCAAAATGTGACCGTAGGTGATTATCTAACCTCTCTACACTTTTGTTTGCTCAACCATAGAGTGTAATTTAAAACATCTACTCCAGAGGGTTGCTGTGAGCAATAAAAGGGTTGATGTATGTCTCAGTGCTGGATGCTTACATACTCCTTCTGAGGTACTGCTTAAGAGAGGGAATACTTTTACCCAAGCATGATCTGATTGCTCCAACCTAATCTATGTTGGAAGAAGTATAGCCAGAGTGCTCCTTGGAGGCCAAGATGGCCAAACTTCGTCTCTCATACTTTGGACATATTGTCAGGAGGGACGAAGTTGCTGGAGGAAGGCTATTATGTTTGGTAAGGTGGAGGGTCAGAGAAAAAGAGGAAGACCCCCAGCGAGATGGATTGGCCAAGTGGCAGCATCAATGAGTTCAAGCGTGGCAACAATAATGAGGTTGGCCCAGGATCGGGCAGTGTTTCATTCAGTGTTTCATTCTGCCGTGCATAAGGTCGCTATGAGTCGGCACTGACTCGATGGCACCTAACAACAACAACAAATCATATGCCCATCTGGGACCAGCAGCAGTTATTAATGCTGATTTAACAGCATGTATTATTTGGAATTGATTGATCAGGTTCCACCCCCAGGGTTAGGGAATGCCAGTTTCCCCTGAGTGTCCTATTCAGATGAAGGGAGAGAAGAACTAGCTAACGATTTCCAGATCTGATCAGGTGAGAGGTGATGGTGAGGCTGACAGGTAGTAGGAACGGGTAACCAATAGGCAGATGGTGAGTGTGTTACAGGTATAGAAAAAACACTGTCTGGTAGATGATGCGATGCGGGGGGCAGTCAGAAGAATGACAGCATTCACTGAGAGGGGGAACCCCAAGGATAAGCAGGTTGAGGAAAGTTGGTGAGTAGAAGTTGCTTTGTAGTGTCTACCCAGGGAGAAGCAGTCTAACTTCCTGTGTCTGAAATTCTGATGAGATGTCTGAGCTAGAAACAGAAATGGGAAAGTGATCATATACTTCAGCATTTATAAACCCATGCACCCTTTCGATAAACCCCCAAATCTTCCATTCTCCTTTAATGTTATTTCAGATTTCTAAGTGCATTAAATAGCCTATTAAAAGCAATTCAGATGAGTTGCAGAATTGAATGTGCTTCCCAACCTTGGAGAACTGCCCGTGCAGATGGCCACTGTAGGCAAGTTGGGGGAAGTCTGTTTCTTCAGCCTTTGAAGATCCAGGCCACTTTGTCCTCCCACAAGCTGGCTGTTGAGCATCGAAAGTGGACTGCACAGCCCAGATACTGTACTCTGCTACCTTAGATGCTGCTACATTTGCTGTGGTTGTCCGCTCTGCTCAGCAGCATCTCTGACAGGCAAGTGAAGGTGGTACTTGGTTATCTCTGGAGTAAGAAAGCTCAGTGCTTCCTGAGACAGCCTCCACCTTGCAAATGGGTCTTTCTTCCTCCCGGTGAATGATAATTGGTCCTATGAGTTCTCCCCACTGATTGCAGCTTAGCCCCACAAATCAGTATGGACGGTAGAGCTCCCTGATTCCCTACACCAGCTCCTTAAAGTATTTGAGGGGCAATCAGCTTTGTCCCCCAGGTCCCTCTCTTTTCCAAGCTGCCCCCATGCCTGCTTTTGTAGCAGGAACCCAGCCTCAAACTGTCTTTTCGACCTGTTAGGTTTCTTCCTGCTTTCACCAGTTGCTAAGCACTTCAGGTTCAGCTTAGCTGGGAGCATTTCCGGTTCCGTTGTATGTGGGAGCACTTCCTGTCCCTGCTCTTGCTGGACCTCTAGAGGTCAAATTCAGGGAGCTCTGGTAGCGAAGTGGTTACAAATCGGGCTGTGAACCACAAGGTCAGCAGTTCGAAACTACCAGCTCCCGTAAAGATTTACAGCCTCGGAAACCCTGTGCAGGGTCGCTATGAGTCGGAACCGACTCCACGGCATATAACAATAACAGCAACAACAAAGGTCAAATTCGGTGTTGATTAAGGTGGATGAAACCAGATTAATTAGGGGCGTGCCGGCGGGGAAGGGGGGGAGGTGGGTTCTGAAGCAGGAGGAAAAACGAGGGCCCCCAGGCCATTGCTAACATAGTCGCTCTTTGTCACACGATCGAGACACCCAGAAAGTCCCAATAGAGCCTTGGGTTCCCCGCCTGTACGATTCAAATCCTACTTGTACCATTTACTGGGTGCGTGATATTTGGCAATTTTTTATTCTCCCTTTGCCTCCGTTTCTTTTGTACTTGTAGAATTGGGTTGACGTTGATAGTCCGTACCTGCTTCACTTAGTGTTCAGATGGAAGACAGAATGAGTGCTAAGTGTTGGGAGCAGGCCTTGAAGCAGTTGGTTGAGTGTTAACTGGAAGTGTTCCTGTTGTTCCCCAAGATCTCTCTGATCTCTCTGGAGCTCTAGAACTGATATTCCATTGGCCCCTGATGGGAAATGTTGAAAACACTTTCAACCAGAAAAAGAGTGACCTTTTCAAAGGCCACTGTCTGAGAGACAGAAACCTTTGTTCCAGTAGGGAGCTTGAGCATTGACACCCAGGCTTCAGATGCTGATGTGGGGGAGTAGATGAGCTTTTCTTTAATACCAGGGCTTACATGTTTGGAACGGTTACCTTTACTGCCTGTGTAAGGAGCTCTGGTATCATAGTGGTTACGAATTGAGCTGCGAACTGCAAGGTCAGCAGTTCGAAACTACCAGCAGTTCCGCGGGAGAAAGATGAGGCTTTCTGCTCCCGTAAAGATTTACAACCTCGGAAACCCTGTACTGGGGCACTGAGTCGGAACCGACTCCACGGCACATAACCACCACCACCACTGCTTGTGTAGAAAGTTAATGTTGTCCCATAGCCCCTGCTGCACCGGTAATGAGCTGACCAGTTCTAGGGGGCATTCAAGTAGCCTGAATAACCAGTTCTCAGGGAATGGACACAGGGTCCTTGCACACTGTCCGTGTTAAGAGGCAGATCTGGGCTTGAACTGTGCCCTCTTGCATGTGGTGAGAGCTGGATGCAGTCATGTAGGGAAGTGTCCACACCATGCCCAGCGTGTGGTCCTAGCCTGTAAGGCCGTGACCAGCCTTGCTGCAGAGCCAGAATTGTTGTCTTTGTCATCTTTGGGTCCCCAGCCACCAGCGGGGACTACCTGTTGAGTTATCCCCTAAGCACTCCTATCCTGGGGGGCTTCAGCAGTGGGGATGGGAGCACCCAGGCCCTCCATCTGACCCCTCTCATGCTCCTTGTTTTGCAGACATTGACGAGTGTGAGAACGACTACCACAATGGGGGCTGTGTGCACGAGTGCATCAACATCCCGGGGAACTACAGGTGCACCTGCTTCGACGGCTTCATGTTGGCACATGGCGGACACAACTGCCTAGGTGAGTGAGGCGGCCAACCTGCCCTGGCCACCTGCCCTGGCCACCGGACCAGCTTGCAGAGTTGGGGCCTGGAGAAGCCTGGCCTCCCTTTGGCCCCCTGAGGTCTCTTACATAACTCCAGATTCACACAGTCCAAGTGTTTATTTTCAACCAGCCTTGTAAAGTGCATAGTTGCGCAAGCTTGCCACATGAAATTAGAAACGTAAAATGCAAAAGATGACTCCGGAGAAAAAGAAAACGAATAAGCCATTTTTAGCGATGCTGGCGTGTACCCTTCCAGTCTTCTCTCCAGATTCCTTGTTTTGACTCTAGGGCTGAGCAGATGTGCCTCGCTTTGCTCGTTAACGTCACATGTACCCCCAGCACTTTGTGTTCCCCGTTGCTACCATTTTCAGAGTTGAGTCTGATGAGGTGAGATTGTGTCAGATCCTAGGTGTGCGGTACTCCACGTCTGGTTGGTGGCTGGTCCAGAGGTGGTTCAAATCTTGTACCAAAAGAATGCCATCTCCTGGTAGCCAGTGCATGCTTCCCTCCTGGACCACTGGCTGCTGAGTGACACGAAGCAGTGACCAGCCGGTATAAGCGTAGATTCATCAAGACCAGGGCTGTGTGTATATGACCTAACCTCTCGGAGCCTTGTTGGTTAAAGAAGGTTGTCAGAGCAGCTGCCTCACAGGGCTCTTGTGATGATGTCCAGGCCGCACTGAGAAGCGAGCTGGGCCTCAGTCTTCCCCACTGTGAAGTGGGGCTAATGATGCTGCCTATGTCACTGGTTATAAAAAGGCTGAATGGCGGTGCTAAGTAGGTGCTGGAAGCCTTGTTAATATTCTAGGGGACTTGGTTTCCCCTCTGTGACTGAACATTGAATATGATTAGTTTGTTTTCGTACACTCAGAATCCAGAGATGACTCTGGGCATACAACCTCTCTATTACCCGGCTTTCCCTTTTGTATCCTGAAAAATGCTTCCCAGCAATAGAACTGCTGCTGGTAAGAGGATCATTGGGTACTTTGTGCTTTCACTGAAGTCCTTTCTAGAAGGGCCTGGCATGCCTTCTGTTGGGCCTGCTGGCCTGCTGGTTGCATGATATGGGGAGGGTGATAACCTGAGTGTTCTAGAACTTTTCCTCAGAGTAGTTATATGGGCTTCACAGTTCCCTACCTGTTTCTGTTTCATGCATATTGGATCTCAGACGAGCTCGTTATGGGAAATAGATCTGTGGATGTGTAATTACACCCAAACAAAGTGCTGAAACGGAGGTCTAAACAGCAGGCTACTGCAGTCCCAAGGGACCCATGAACAACTCCGTCTGCCTGGACTGAGAGGGTGGGGGGAGAAAAGTCACAGGTTCCCCAGAGGGCTTCCAACAGGAGGTGACAATGAGCAGACTCTGGAGGCTGGGGAGGCCACAGCTGGTGTGTGGAGCACCGTGAGTGACTCTTAGCAGCTGAGCTGGGGAGTGAGTGTGGAGGAGTGGGAGCAGAGGAAGCAAGGGCTGAGGTTTCATCATGAAGCATCGGGACAGACACCGCTGATTGTCCCAGACACAGGGCTCTGAGAACAAGTGCCAACTCGCTGGGACCTAAGCACTTGGCTTTACCAGTGTTTCCCCTTTTCCGGGTGAGGAGGGTCTGTGTATTTCAGCAACTGATCCATCAGTGACAGAAACAAAGGAAGCTGACAGTACTCGTGGCCTGGAGACTCGGTTTTTTCCTATTTTTTTAAATCAAAAAGTTCATGAAAAAAATGGAGTTAAAAGATCATGGGAGCGCAGACCGTCCAAACCATAGGCTCTGAGGATCAGACTCTAGCCACCTAGAAGACATAGCAAACTGTCCCTCATCTGATTATTCAGTAATGCTTGTTAGTAAT